TCTGTGAGTGTCTGTGAGTAGTGTCTGTGAGTATGTGAGTGTGTCTGTGAGTGTGTCTGTGAGTATGTGAGTGTGTCTGTGTGTGTCTGTGAGTATGTGAGTGTGTCTGTGTGTGTCCCAGAGACTGTAGATGGAGAGGAAATCCCTCTTTTGTTTCCAAGGAAGCCAAGTGTGTGTTTAATGGAGGGTGAACATGTGCCTTAGTCTGACAGCTGTGAGGAGAGGGGAGAAGGAGGGAGGTTAGAGGGGGGAGTACGGCCCAGATGTTGTAATAACCTTGGTTTTTTATGCAGCTGCATCTGAAATACTTCCTTGTTAAAGTAAAAAAACACAGTATGTTGTTGTTGTTGTGTACTGTACATATACCAGCAGTGCAGTTGTCGACTGTGTTCCTCATTCTGTTTGAGTGGAGCAGCGGAGTTAAAAGTTAAAGAAGCTACAAACCTTGAAACAAACTAGACGACCTAAATAATTATATATTTTATTTTATGTCAAATGTGACCTGAAAAAAAAAAACAAGGCAGTGTTGGTGGTCTGTGGTCTCTAAAACAACCTCCTCCAGGCTCTACCTCCACATCACTGTTGAGAGATAAGATCATCATCTTCTTCATCATCATCAGACACAGCAGAGTTTCATGAAACCTTCTGCCTCAGTGAGGCTGACGGCTAAACCAAATAAAAAGCCAAACTATTCTGCTTTGGAAAATGTGGTTTTATATTTACTTTATTTACTGTATTCCACACATTCTCACAACTACTGCTAATCAGAAACTCTAATACTGATACTTTAGCTTTATTGAATCTATGTTTCTACTTACGCTGAACTGAATACTTACATTTCCCGTAATGGTTAATAGGTCTCACCTCACAAAAACTGTCAGTGAGCATGAACTGTTGACATTTCCGCAGAAATTATTTTCTATTCTATTCAGATAAAAAAAATATTTCTCTGAGACAACCCAGAGGACAAAGAGCAGAGCGTTGAGGGGGAAAAATGAATTAAAAAATTAAAATTAGAATATGGAAGAAGTCAGATTAGTTGTTTATAAAATGGGTTTTCATTTGAAGTCCAGTCCTTTTTCTTTATTCAAGTCAAAACTCTTGGGATCAGTTCATGTTCTGGAGAATAACATCAAAGTGTGTTGTTGTTTTGTTTGGATGTCAAAAAACCTTTAAGCTTGTAACATTTCTGAGACACCATCAGTCATTTTACACAACTGGGTCACAGCAGTTGTTGATCCACCATTAGATTCACACGTGCTGTTTTGTCTTGTTAATAAGCAGCAGTAGACCAGCAGCCCTTTGTCCCATGAGCCTGACACTATTTTTAGTATTATGGTGTGGGTTTTACAAACTTCATTTTCCCCGGTGGAAAATGCAGTGTAGCTGAGATAAAGTGACAAACGTTCACAAGTTCATGTTCATGTTAATGTTAATGTGAGCAGCACTTTAAAGAGGAGACAAAATAAGGAAACTGTGTGCCGTTTTAGTGTTAATCCAATTCTCCAGTGTTCCACTACTTGTTGACACACACACACACACACACACAGTCTGGCCGATGATCCTGTTAGTAAATGAAAGGCTGATTGATGGACTGTAGCTCAGGAGCAAATTACCCCCCTGGGGTTTTAACAACCCAGACACCTCCCCCAGCCCTCTGCCTAAACATCCAACCCCCTCAGTCAATCCCCAGCCACCCACCACCGCAGCCAGCACTCCAGCCATCCGCCGGGATTTCACCCCCATCGTCCTTCTATCTTGTCCACTATCTGCTCCGTCTGTCACAGGTGACACTAACGCTCTCCCTCTCACTCACTCACTCACTCACCCCGGTGTGTGTTTCCTCAAACAAGTGTCCATGTTAACCGTCTTCGTTGTTGACTTCAGGTCTAAACACCAGCACTGCTGGCTGGACTGGAACATTTAGTGCTGTCCTGTCCACACGGAGGAGGTGAAGGAGGCCTGTAAACTAGTGGCCCTGTTAAGAAAGAGAAACTGGACTGAGTGTCTTGAAGAGGGATCACTTTTCATCCAAGAGGATTTTCCCGTTTGGGCTGACAGCACACAGAGACCTGACACTTGGACTTTAGTAAAATATCTTTAAATAAAGTCAAAAAAGTCTAATTTACTGCCACTGAACTTCTGATGTTGAGAATGACCTGGATGACTTGAAACACTACAGATCACATGGATCCCATCCTTACTTTTCCATCTTAAAAAAAAAAAAAAAGCAGTGAGAGGTTTTAAAATGTTTAGATGAGAATCTTCTTGAAAGGTCGTGATGGAACACCAGTGTTCGACTCAGGTTGCTGTGAAGAACACCAGAAATGGATCTGAATGAAGAGCTAACCCTAATGCTCATAATAAAACAGATGTTGGTCTTATATGGCAACATGTCCCTGAAAGTATTTACAGTAGAACAAACACCCCTGTACTCATATACTGCATTTGTCATGGCAGTGTGAAAACCTCTATTTACAAAAAAACACAGAAGAAGAATCAGCTTTAGTTACCCCCAGACTGGCTGCTCAACCACTACAGCACAGGCTGGGATTTTGACTGGCAACCCTTCAATCACCAGCCTGAGCCTTTAACCAGGGCACAGGTACCTGATGGATTTGTGGTCTGAAAAAATGATAAAAGTAAAAATGGCCCAGACTGACAAATTGAACCAGTAGCTGTTTAAACTCAGCTCATTAACAAAATTGCTTTGGACCAGTGAGCGGTCCCACAAAATAGTTTTCCTTGACCACACACACAGGCTGCAGATGAATGTGGGGCACAAAGCTGCTGTTCACCAAGGCAAGTTAAGTCCCAGATGTGGGCCACAAAGATCCAACCCTGTTTGGGTTCAGCCTGAGGAGAGGCTTGCCCGCCCCCTGCTGCTGTCGTTCTACTGTAGATGTTCTAAAGTTCTAAGACTCCCTTCCTCTTCACACCTCCCATTTACAGCAGAAAAAAAACAAACGTCCATGTCAGACAGCAGAGACAGACAGCAGGTCCAGCAGCAGCAGCGACGTCCCACCTGAAGATCAACATCAGGAACTTCAGCTCATTCAGGGAATAGTTTTTTATTCCTCTCTGGGCTTTAGTAAAGTCTTAGATTGGACGTTGTCCCAGCTTGACCCTCAGTCAGGGTCCTCTCTTCATGAATACATGCAGATGTTTTCATTCACTAACATGGCCGTGGTGAAGTGCTGCTTTAAGCCAGTGGTGAGTTCTTTGGTAAGAATGTGGATCATCAGGTTTACCTTTTCCTCCCCGACTGGTTTCACTGTGGGAGGAAGTCACATTAAACCAGCGTCTCCCGACTCTGCTCCGACACTGGACACTTTTACTCATCCACCCACATCTCTTCTTATTTATTTTCTTCATTCTGTTTTCCTGACACGTCTCCCCGAGGCTGTCGGATTAGAAGATTGAATTCCAGGCTGAAGTGAAGCTGGGGCAGTGAACGAGGAGCCGTGGACTGAAATGGCAGTGAATCTGAGTAAAAATGGAGCAGCGCTCATGGCTGCCTACAAAGAGGTGGTGGATGGAAAGACTGACACCAACTGGTGAGTGTGATCCTGATGTGCAGAAGAAGAACCCCCCAAAGCTCACTTCTGTCTAGGTGGATTTGATGTGGAACCTTCAGTGCGTCCACCACACCCTCACGTCCTGGTGTCTTCTGTCATTCTGTTTTCAGGGCCCTGTTCACTTATGAAGGCAACAGCAGTGACATCAGACTGGCAGAGACGGGAGGTAAGACCTGTGCTGTGAGTACTGGTCAGAGAGCTGATAATCAATCAGTACAGGGGTCATCAAAGAGTGTCAGTCAGCGGCCAGTTTATTTAGAAGGTTTGATGAAGAAACACGGACATTGTCCTAGAGCCCTGATATTTACCCCACTTCTCATCAGGGTAAATCAATAGGAGCTTGATAAGTTTCCACCATGGTTCCTCCATGAAATACAAGAGGTAGAGAGCAGTACACAGCAAAAGGAAACGATTAAAATATTTGCCAATGCTAATCTGTGACCTAGTGTGAGGAAAGCATGTCTGTGTAACGTACCTGTGTGTGTGTGTGTGTAGATGGAGGTTTGGAGGAGATGGTGGAGGAGCTGAACACTGGTAAAGTCATGTATGCTTTCTGCCGTGTCAAGGACCCAAACTCTGGTCTGCCCAAATATGTCCTCATCAACTGGGTGAGTCATTTCACTCTCCTCTCTGTGGACGTGATGCCACTTATTGTCCTGAAAAAAAAAACTCAAACCTAAAGTAACCTTGAATCTGTGCCCCAAGGCTTCAGAAATGACCACTTAGTCTACAGAATCTGCTCATATCTACACATATTGATTGGATATGTAGATATTCATGCTGCGATATAATGACCCTATCCGTCCATGACAACTAAAACACGTGTATGTTTTTTTGTTGTTATGGTGTAAAAACCACAGACAGGTGAAGGTGTGAAGGACTCCAGGAAAGGAGTCTGTGCCAACCACGTCAGCTCCATCGCTAGTTTCCTTAAGGTGAGGCCACGGTTCTGTTGAGCTGTTCTGTAGAACTGTATCAGGTCTAATGATGAGGAACTGTTTGATTTGGAACTGAGGAGCAAAGCAGGGAAAAAAGGACAAGACAATCTATAGACAAAAATACATTTCTGGTTGGAAGATGTTGTAGTCTTACCACGGGGGGCAGCAGTTGACCTCCAGGTTTTGTGGAGAGTGTGTGATTAAAAACACAGTGTCATCTGATGTAGATGTGATTGGTCGAGTCTTGGATCAGTGGACTACTGTTCCTGCTCAGGTGTTCTTTGTTGACGTCTCCTTGTCTTGTCGTTAGCTGACTGACTGGTTAAGACACATCCACTATGGTTCGCAGCAAACCTGTGATACGCAGCTTCATGTTCTAATAATATGTTTGTGATCACAGGGAGCCCATGTGACCATCAATGCCCGCACAGAGGATGATGTGGAGCCCGAGACCATCCTGGCAAAAGTGGCCAAAGCCTCTGGAGCCAACTTCAATTTCCACAAAGAGAAAGAATACAGAGATGCCCCCAGAGGACCAGTGGTGAGGAGACGCTGACGCCACGTGTGAGTGAAATAAAAGATCACCGTCTAAAAACTAACCTCCTTCTTCTTCTTCTTCTTCTTCAGGGATCAGTGTATCGGAAGGTCAACGCTGTGGAGGAAATTCAACAAACCAATAAAGACGACTTCTGGTCCCAGAATCAGGTTTGGAGCTCACATCAGAAAAGTATTTTACAACTCCACAGGTAGAACTGACGGTGAATGGGTTTTTCGTCATTCACAGAGAGAAGAAGTAGTTCGTCGACAGGAGGAGATGAGACGAGCCGAGATGGAGAGACAGAAGTTGGAGCAGGAGAGAAGGGACGCGGATGAGAGGGAAGCGAAGGAGAGAGAGAGGAGGATGAAGGAGACGGAGAGGGAGAAACAGCAACCGGTGAGTACATGTACCAAATTAGAGACAGTGAAGAGAAGACACCAGGGATTGTTCAGAGGAAACCGGTTCATGGCTACGTCAGTAAAATAAGAACTAAGATTACCTTCACTCTGGAGGCAGGTGAGGCCCAAATGTTACCTGGTGCCCGTACCAAGGCCGCTTTCGGGTTTCCAGTATTTTCTGGTATTTTTCAATGACGTCATAGTTCCCTGCAAGGAATACAAACTAAATGTAAATAATGGACAGAAGACAAAGGCTGTGATAACCAATTATTCCTTTCATCAGGGGTCAATGTACCGCAAGGTCAACGCTGTGGAGGAAATTCAACAGACCAACAAAGACAACTTCTGGTCCCACACTCAGGTGTGTGTTTTATCTGATCTTTATCTGTTGTTGCTAAGTCCATTCCCTGTTCAAACCG